ATGTCAAGGAAAGAAACCAGGAAGGACAGATGGTGGTGGATTTTGCCAAAAGAATGGAAATGGCTATAGTCAATACCTATTTCCAAAAGAGGGAGGAACATAGAGTGACCTGTAAGAGTGGAGGAAGGAGTACGCAGGTCGACTACATTCTGTGTAGAAGAGGAAACCTGAGGGAGATTGGAGACTGTAAGGTTGTGGCAGGGGAGAGCGTGGCCAGACAGTATCAGATGGTTGTGTGTAAAATGACTGTTGTTGTGAAGACGAGTAAAATCAGAGAAGACCAAATGATGGAAGATGAAGAAGGAAGAATGTTGTGAGAAATTCAGAGAGGAGCTGTTAAAAGGTCTGGGTGGTAAGAAAGAGCTTACAGATGACTGGGCTACTACAGCAAGGATGGATAAGATCAGGAATGAGATCATCAATCAGTGTTTCCCCTACCATTATACAAGCGGGGTGCCCCGCCCCATCTATCAAACCCCACCCAACACCAACCTGTCAGCACTGATGTAACGCTAAACCAGCAGCTCGCAATACAGGTGCGCTAGCTAAAAGAACCTAAAGACCCTCACGCTGGCCCCCCCCCCCACACACACACACACACACACACACACACACACACTCGAAAACTGTCGGCACAAACAGCGTGCGGCTCAGATGTTCCACCTCCAACTCGCCCCGCCATGGCCGGTTATCTAAGGGAAACACTAGCACAGGTTGAACACCTGGGAGATAAAGTTAGAGAGGCCAGATTGAGATGGTTTGGACATGTCCAGAGGAGGGACAGTGGGTATACTGGAAGAAGGATATTAGAAATGCAGCTGCCAGGAAAAAAGACAAAGAGGAGATATATGGATGCAGTTAGAGAAGACATGGAGTTAGTTGGAGTGAGGACAGAGGATGCATAGAGAGATGGAGGGTGACTCGCTGTGGAGACACCTGAAGAGGGAAAAGCCAAAAGAAGACACTTGTACCTATCATTAACCATCATGATATATACATCATATATATATGATTTCTTTTTTTTTTTTTTTACACACTTTTTTCCCCAGACAAGAGGACTTGAAGCAGTCTGTGGATTCTAGCACTGATGCCATTAATACAGTAATATCTCACGTTTGCTATGGCCATGTCAGAGGGTTTAATGTATGAATAGCAAAGGGGAAAGAACTCACACCTAATGTGACACATCATAGGAAAAATAACACTTACAAAGATGCTGTTAAATTATGTCAACATAAATGTTGCTCCCTAACTCTGCTGCTGAACGAGAAGGCATGGATTTAAATACATCTAGGATGATGTTTACACCAGACATTCACATTTTAGTCAGGATGCTTGATGCATCATTGATGCATCAACACCCACTACTGACTTGTTTAACAAACTGGAGTGAGTCCATGTGTATTAATGTATTATAGCCATTTTTCTCCTAAGATTTAAAAGTAAATGGTAAATGGACTGTACTTATATAGCACCTTTCTATCTTATCAATATACTCAAAGCTCTTTACAACACAAGCTGTGCCTCATTTACCCGTTCATACATCACTCTACTAGATCTCTACAAAGCTAATTGTACAAATCATTCTAAAGAGACTAATCAGAGATTTATCACATTCATACACTGATGGGACACACATCAGAGGCTATGAGGGATTCAGTGTCTTGCCCAGAAACATTTTGGCACGTGACTGTTGGTGGATTCAAACCCCAAACTCTTGCACTGGAGGACGACTGCTCTAACCACTCAGCCACATGCTGCTGTAAAAGCAGTAACAGCCTTTCAAGTAATGACTTATGAGACTTTGATTCTTTAACACAGCTGTAATAGTGGGATCCTTTCAGAACCACGGGTTTCTCTAAAATTAAGATGAGAACTTTAATCTAAGCCAAAAAAAACTGTTCAATGACTTTCTTAAGAGAGGTGGAGCGTTCCAAAAATCTACTGGATTATTATGAAGCGCATGGCACTACAGTGGTTTGAGCTGTCGCCTCTCAGCGAGAAGGTCGCAGGATCTTTTCCCAACCTTGGATCCACCAGAGTGGAGTTTGAATGTCCTCCATGTGCACAGGCGGGTTTTCTCCAGTACTCCAGTTTCCTCCCACAGACCAGACTGATTGGTAACTCTAAATTGTCCCTAAGTGTGAGTGAGAGTGAATGGTTGTCTTGTTTGTCTTTATGTATCCCTGTGATGGACTAACAACCCGTCCAGGGTGTCCCCCACCTCTCACAGTGACTGCTGGTGAAGATGATGGACGGATGAATTATTATGAAGCTCCATGGGTCAAAATAAACTAAGAACTCAAAGAATCTGTCGCTCGTTTAAGAAATCCGTGCTCACAGAATCACTCTCACAGCTTCGAATGCAGCATACGCAGGGACTTGCAATGATGCTGGGATCTGTGCAGCAGGTGTTGTGTTTAGTTTGGTTTCCAGCATGGATGGGAAAACAAAGTTAAGCACAACACCAGACGTGAAACTGGAGTTTAGGGCCCATCTACAAATTGCAATATCTGACTATAATATTCAATAGGTTCAATAGAACTGCTGCCACATTGCAAGTTAAAACACTTACAAACCCAACATTTAGATCTTATTTTAAAAAAAAACTAAAATGAACTCAAACAATAATGATCTTAAACAGAAAAGTGTCTGTTGAATGTCTTGACCCAAGGGAATGAATTCTGAGAACCACTTTTTAAATTTCAACCTATGACGACCAAAACATCCTGTTGTGAAGAACAATAAGTTCAACTAATCTCACAAATATTTTGAACTTTAAATGTAAGATTAATCAAGAAAATAAACAGGAAATACAATTAGCTGCAGCTCTTGTCTCAGAACAAAGAACGTTCAACTATTTTAATCTTCTCCAGCTTCTGCTAAATGACTCGAGTGCTGTGAAGGCCCGATTCACTTCTCATTTTATCGAGCACTGGCTTACAAAAAAGTGCTTACAGGCTTGGCTCGATAAAAGAGAGTGCAGACAGTCTCTTTATCTCTGCAACAAACTGGGCGAGTCATCAGAAAAACGTGTGAACCTGACGGGCTGCCAGCGAGTCGGTTGTAAAGCCAGGCCAGGTAACCTCGAGCCTCCCAGGTGTCAGGCAGGACTGCTGATCTGTCTGCAGCAGACTGCACCGCTCTGTTCAAGCCTACAGTACTGCGTCCTGACTGGGTGGATAGTCCCAGCAATCAAAACATCATCATCTCAGCTGAATGAACAATGACATGGGAGTGGTGCAGCTGCTGCTCGAGAGGACTGACAATGAAAATGTCCACCAAACTTCAAACACACACATGCCAAACAGGACAACGATTGTTCCACTTCTGAGATATAAAAGCTGCTTGGCAAGGAGGATAGAGAAAGAGGGAGAGGAGAGGACAGAATGAAATAGCCACTGCAACTCCACTCAGTCAGAAAAAAAGAAATCAGAAAACGCTTCTCTCTCGCTCCCCCTCCTGTTCCTGCTCGGCGCAGTGGCCTCTGGGTAGACAGAGGGACTGCTGATGCCTTTTCTCGCTCTGTCAATTTTCCTCTTGTTTCTTACGCTCCTTCTCTCCTCTCTGAACCCTCGCTTCTGCTTCGATTTCTTTTTCCCCATTACAATTTAATCCGATATCCGAGCGCTGCTATCTCAGGGAGGGATGTGGTGGAAACGATGCCAGTGACGCCGCTTCAGGTGTGTGTGTGAGCTCCAGTTAAGGAGGAAGAGGCTGCTGAGGAAACCAATTTCAGCCTGATCAGATATCAGATTTTTACTAAGAAAGGCTGCGACTGACAGGAAAATTAAACTGCGGACAAAAATAAACTGCAGGTGTAAGCATTGCAGTGCTCCAGATCTTTTTATTTCCAATCTATATTTCGCTATCTGACAAAACTTGGACATTGAACAGTCCTTTTATCAGCAAAATAAAAGGACTGTTATGGGCGGCCGTGGTGCAGTGGTAGTGGCAGCCGACCTCTGATCGGAAGGTTGGAGGTTCGAATCCCGACTTCCCACACCATGTGCCGTTGTGTCCCTGGGCAAGACACTTAACCCCGAGTTGCTCCCGGTGGGACTGGATGGCGCCTTGCATGGCAGCCTACCGCCACCGGTGTATGAATGTGCGTGTGAATGGGTGGATGGCTGGTACTGTAAAGCGCCTTGGGGCCCCTCATAGGGGGCTGGAAGGCGCTATAGAAGTAAGCTCCATTTACCATTTACCATTTAGCTATCTGATAAAGCTGCCAGCAGGTGACGTCTGCAGAGTCTATAAATTAAATGAAGTAGTTCATACTATGACGGAGCATTAGGGCCAAGCTAAGAAAAAAAAATTAAAAGCCATAAAATTACGAGAAAAAACTTGTAATATTACGGAAATAAAGTCATAATATTACAAGAATAAAGTCATAATATTACGAGAATAAAGTTATAATATTATGAGAATAAAGTCATAATATTAATACGAGAATAAACTTGTATCACTATGAGAATAAAGTCATAATATTATGAGAATAAAGTCACAATATTACGAGAATAAAGTCATAATATTACAAGAACAAAGTCATAATATTAAGAGAACATAATCATAATATTACGAGAACATAATCATAATATTACGAGAATAAAGTCATAATATTATGAGAATAAAGTCTTAATATTACGAGAACATAATCATAATATTACGAGACTAAAATCAGAATATTATGAGAATAAAGTCATAATATTAAGAAAATAAAGTCATAATATTAAGAGAATAAAGTCATAATATTATGAGAATAAAATCATAATATTACGAGAACATAATCATAACATTACGAGAACATAATCATAATATTACGAGGATAAAGTCATAATATTATGAGAATAAAGTCATAATATTAAGAGAACATAATCATAACATTACGAGAACATAATCATAATATTACGAGAATAAAGTCATAATATTACAAGAATAAAGTCATAATATTAAGAGAATAAAGTCATAATATTACAAGAATAAAAACATAATATTATGAGAATAAAATTATAATATTACGAGAGTAAAGTCATAATATTACGAGAATAAAGTCATAATATTACAAGAATAAAGTCATAATATTACGAGAACAAAGTCATAATATTACGAGAACATAATCATAACATTACGAGAACATAATCATAATATTACGAGAATAAAGTCATAATATTAAAATAAAGTCATAATATTAAGAAAATAAAGTCACAATATTACAAGAACAAAGTCGTATGATAATAAAGAAATATAACTTATTATAATAAATTAAATTTATTATGAGAATAAAGTCATAAAATTACGAGAATAAACTCATATGAGAATAAAGACGGATAATATTACCAGAATAAAGACATTATATTATCCGAACTTCGAAACGATAAACATAGTTTACCGCGTTTTAACTGTGGTAAAAAGAAGAATGTTGAGCATCTTGTTAAGTTATATTTTGGTTTTGGTTTTACAAATAAGGAGATAGTTAATCTGTGAGCATATCAGCATCAGATTATAATCAGTATCAGGACTTTGAACCTGCTTAGACTCTGATGGGCTGCAGCAGCTCTCTGCTGGTAAGGAGCATTGAACTTCAGACTGGTCATTTGCTGACACGCCTACTGGATTAATTGACAGGTTGCGTTGTGGATCTGACTCGTGGAAAAAAATAAAATAAACAAGAGCTGGAAAAAACCAAAAAGTCTCGTATGACTTTATTCTCGTAATTTTATGCCTTAAAATTTTTTTTATCTTAGCGTGGCCCTAAAGCTCCATCGTATCATACAGTGCAGTTAAAGTGAACACAATGCACTTTGCTTGGTTGCTGGGTTTAAACTGAGACCAAATATAACACCAAGCAAACCAACAAGCACAGTCATCTTCTCACTTGTTTCAGTTTTGTTAAGACTTACCCACAGCAGGAGCATCATACTCGTCCCCCAGCAGTATTTCGGGAGCTGAGTAAGCCAGGGAGCCACAGGAGGTATTCAGTTTTTTCCCGGGCTGAAAGCGGTTGCTAAAGCCAAAATCGGTGAGCTTGACGACGCCCTGCTTCTCAAAGAAAACCACGTTTTCAGGCTTCAGGTCCCTGTGCACCACATGGAGCCGGTGGCAGTAGGAAATGGCGTGGACGATTTGGGCAAAATAACACTTGGCCACCTGGGAGAGAGACATAAATAGTGTCAAGCAACAGGAAACTTGTCACAATATTTGTCTGTTAGTTACATTTTAATGTTCGGTCCAGTTCACTCTCAGTCTGGGAACTAACTTTAATTAGCTAGTTTACATATAAGAGCTGTGAACGGACAGTGAAAACAGAAAGTGATCGAAAATGGTTACAAGAATCAATTTCACAGAGATCTATTTCTTCCTCGCCTCATGGGGCGAGGACGATCGTGACCACAGTCACTAAGAATACACGGATTACACACTACACTGTAATAAACTGAACACTGCCTGCAAGGACTTCCTGCTCATGTTCAGGCACGTCTTACGTTTGCCAGTGAACATCTGAACGACTCAGACAAGGCACGGGATGAAATGTTTTAGTCAAATGAGACTAAAATGGAGCTCATAGCACCGATTCAACCCAGTTTAGAGGAAGATAAATGTTGAGTATGATCAAGAACACCATCAGGTGTAGCACGGAGGTGGAAACGTCATGTTTTGGGGCTGTTTTTCTGTAATGGGTGATTTTCATTGTGTTGAGGAATCAATGAACAGAGCCATATACCATTAAATCTGGCATGAGAAGTTTCTGTCCTCAGCCAGACCACAGAAGATGAGTCCTGGATGGGTCTTCCAACAACACAATGACACAAAGTGCACCAACACAGCAACAAATAGTACCATAGCTAAAGATGGTGCACATTAAGGAAGTCTATCTCCAGACCTCAGTCCCACAGAATATCTATAAAGGTATTTGTGGATGTGACTTGCAGCAGCCAGAAAATAAAGGCTTTAGAGAAATTGTGTACAAATCTCAGGATGGTTTTAGACTCTGGTTTTGAGTTTAATAAACAAATTAACTCTGTTCTGCAGAAAAGCTTCTTACAGTTAAGGCAGATAGCTAAGTTTAAGTCCGTGTTGACCAGATCAGACTTTGAAAAGAACAGTCCACGCATTTGTTTCAACCTGGCTAGACTACTGTAACACGCTTTGTGTTGGGGTCAGTCAGGGTTCTCTTTCACGCCTCCAGCTCGTCCAAGATGTTGCAGCTCAGCTTTTAACAGGAACTCGTAGGTTTGAGCACATTTCACCAGTTTTGTCCTCCCTTCACTGGCTCCCTGTACATATCAGAGAATTGATTTTAAAATTCTCCTGTTGACCTTTAAGTGCCTAAATGGTCTTGCACCTTCATATCTCTGTGAGCTACTTCAACCAGATGTTCCGTCTCGAGCACTGAGATCATCTGATCAGCTGCTTTTGGTTGAAGCTCAGAGGAGATCGGGCTTTTTCAGTCATGGGCCCTAAACTCTGGAACAATCTGCCCTCAACATCAGACAGGCCACTTCACTTCCTGTTTTTAAATATCTACTAAAAACACACCTGTTTTCACGGATGTTTAACACCGTATGATCCGATTTAGTATTTCATTGTTTTTGTGTTTTTTTATGTTTTAATTACATCTTATTATTATTTTTCTTTAATTACTGCCTTGATCTTATTGTTAAGCACTTTGGTAACAGCTGCTGTTTTTAATGTGCTTTATAAATACATTTGGCTTTGACTTAAAACCGTTAACGAGCTAAAAAAATAAAATAAAAAGCTAGCTAGAAAACGAACTAGGAACATTCTGTAAAGAAAGTGTTTCGTACTTCCAAAGCTGAATAAGTAAATATGAAAAACGTAACTTTAAAAAGCTGAATTTTACACTTTAAGTTGAACATTTTTGCTAGCTAAACTAACATGCTACTATTACTAATAGAGACTATGCAGATGTTACAACTGCTGTCTTAAACTGCCTATGAACCAGTGTTCAAAAGCCAAATTGTGCCAATTAGTGTCCAGGTGTGCAGCTGGAGGAAGACACTGCTGAACGGAGCTGTGATTGGCTGCCTGCCTGGAGGTTGCTGCTTAAAGAGGAGCCGAGTTGCAGATGACGTTGGTGTTTTCCCATTCACTCTGCGTGTCCCAACCAGCCACAGCTGACCTGCTGTCTACTGTTAAAATTAGCTTAGTTTAGTGAGGAGTTCTTGTCAGAGAGAGAGAGTCAGAGATTCTTTATTGTCATTAGCACCTCATGTGGTACATGTGGTGGAGCGAAATTATGTACACAGGGTCCCAGTTACATCCAACAATAAAATGTCCAAGAAAAACAGTAATAACATCTAAGATATGAACTAAGAAAAACATCAACTAAATATACACTAAGCACTCATAACATAAAACATTGAACATCAGCACAAACATGAACATGAGTCTGTGTGAGCGGATGTGCACGCATGAACACATCAACATTGAAACAGATCAGCAGCAACATGAAACAGATCAGCAGCAACATGAAACAGATCAGCAGAAACATGATATGGTTTTTCACAGTGATTATTCTAGTTAGAGATCCATGAGTCTAACAGCCTCAGGGTAGAAGCTGTTCCTCAGTCTAGTGGTTCTACACTCAACCTCCTTCATGAGGGGAGTGGGGCAAAAAGTGTGTGTGCTGGGTGAGTGGGGTCCTTCATGATGCAGGTAGCCCTCTTCCTGCATCTAGAGGTGTAGATATAGGGGTGAGCTGCCATTTTAGTTAAGATCTTTTTCTCCTGTTTTTGTTAGTTTAGATCAGGTAAGAGACCTGTATTTTTGTTTACTTTAATTTATTAGGTAAGTGATAAAAATAGGAAAAACAGTTTGTTTTGTTTGTTATTTTGGCCCGAGGCTCACCCTGAAGTCTGGTAAGACTCCACTGTATATCATTCATTTATTCACATTGTAAATAAACACCGTTAAAACCTTTTCATCTGACTCCGTGGCTGCTTGAGGTGTGCAGAGGTGGAAACGCCCACCCCATATGTTACAACTGGCGCAACAAGCCTTTTGCCGGTTGTAACACTGCTTTTAAACTTTGTTGCCTACAAGTGGCCAGAAAATGTACTAGAAGGGTATGGAGCGCTGTTTGTAAAGTTACACAGTCAAAAATTAACAGCAACATTTTAGTTTATGCCTTTCATAAGAAAAAAAATGTTACCATGTTATTCATACATTTATAAATGTCATAGTTCCAAACTAAAGATTTAATTTACAAGCTAAATATTTAGCTCCACACTAAATATTTAGTTTACAAACTAAATGTTTATGTCCAAGATAAATGTTTAATTTACAAACTAAATATTTAACTTGCAAGTTAATTATTTAGTTAGTAAACTAAACGTTTAGGTGTAAATTAAATATTAAATTTCCTAGCTAAATATTTATTTTCAAAACTAAACATTTAATTTTCAAACTAAATATTTATCTTCTAGGCTAAACAGTTAATTCCTAAACTAAATATTTAATTTGCTAACAAAATATTTAGCTTGGACCTAAATATTTATTTTCCAAACTAAACATTTAATTTCCAAAATAAATATTTAATGTGCTAACTAAACATTTGGGTCGGACATAAATATTTAACTTGCTAGCTAAACATTTAGCTTGCAAGTTAAATATTTAACTTGCAAACTTGTAAATTCAGCATTTAGCTTGCACATAAACATTTAGTTTGTAAACTAAATATTTATTGTGGAGCTAAATATTTAGCTTGCTAACTAAATATTTAACTTGCAAGTTAAGTATTTAGTTTGGAAGTATGACATTTATAAATGTATGAATAACATGGTGAAAATATGATTTTGGAAAAAAAAACTTTTTTGTCTTATGAAAGACTAAATAAACCAAAAGCTGTTAATTTTTGACTGTGTAACTTTACAAACAGCACCACATAGGAGGGATCCAAATTGATGAACTCTGCTTGTTCATGTAAATATAATCACTGTCAGCCATAAACAAATTTCAGACCACTTTAATATCTAGGTTTCCTTTCCCTCCCCAACATGTCAAGCTGAAATCAACTAAAAATAATATTCTATATATGGTTACAAGACTCAGGTACAACAAACCTATAAGTTAGCCAGTTTGACAAAAGTGGGCTTATAAAGACTTTAAAGAGGAAAACTAAACACGTTTTTTTTTTTCAGATCTAAAATGAACTAAGGACCAGAGTGTAGGAACTTCCAGAATTAAAAACCTGGACCTTAAAATTAAAAAAATAAAGCATTCTTGTTAAAATGCAGACAAAAGGGGAGAACAATGAGTTATGCCACTGTGCTTATTTATCTCTGAACTAAAAAGAAATTAAGCAAGTTGTGCAAAATCTTTTTGAGGTTGTCAGTGTTTTCACAGAAGAACCAGTTAGTGAAAACCTCACTGAGTAAATTATAAAAGTTCAACAAAATCGTACCGACACCAACAGATTTCTCATTTCCTTCCCACCTTTCAGCTGCACTTTAACAACTTTGTCACACACTTTTAACCAGTGGTGCCTGGACTTTATTAACCTCAAAGTATCTGTAGCTGCAGTGCACACGTGGGTCTCCAACTACCATCAACCTGTTCTACTCTATTTCCCCAAAACTGTTTTTCCCCATAATAAAAAAAAGTAATAAAATGAAAAGTACGTTCCCAAAAAACGATTCTCATCTCATTTCACTATGCCTTTTATTGATATCTGTTTTATTGCTGTATCTTGAGACAAGTCCAAGGTCCGGTGGCTTTATAAAAGAGTAACCTTACAGTTCTGCAGGTAATGTGCATATCTGAGAGGTTTTGTCTCACCTCTTCACTGAGGCCTCCATCGTGCTTCATGATGCAGTCGTACATGTCTCCTCCGTCGCCCAGCTCCAGGATGAGGTAGAGTTTGGTGGCTGTGTCGATGACCTCGTAAAGGCGCACCACGTTGGGGTGCTGCACCATTTTCATGCATCGTACCTCCTGGAAAAGGTGACTCCTCGCCACTGGGTCCAGCTTAGTCTTGTCTATCACCTTTACAGCAACCTGGACAAGAGACGGAAGTAAAAGTGAAAACTTTTTTTTTTTTCCTTTATTTATACAGGTAGTCTCATTGAGCCGCGAGAACTCATTTTCAAGAGACCTGTTACTACCCACTGCTAAAATGTAGTGGAGATAGTAAAACTATTTAAATGTTTATTATGCAAAACTTCAAGTTCTTAGTCTTTAGTGAAGTCTGGATCAACTCTACTAAAAACAATAAGTGCATGATATATCAAAAATCCATCATAAAAGCTAAAATCAACACAACCCATTGTGAAATAGATGAAGAAACACATTTATGGGAAAACCAATGATGTTTTTGTTTATAAAAGTGACTTCTCAGACAAACTGTACATTTGATTTTGCTGGTTTAGTTTCAAAACATTGCACTTTTATGCACAAATATAGACAAGCTTACCTTTTCCCCAGTGAATACATGACGAGCCAGCTTGACCACGGCAAAGTGACCCCGACCCAGCGTCTTGTCAAGATCATACAGTCCAGCAATCTTTCCATCGCGGTGACGTTTGAGCCCTGACATGTCTGCCGAAGATGGGTCTGATTGGTGGCTTTTTGTTGCCTGCTGGTCTTCAGCTGTCAGTTCACCATCTCCACCTTAGTAAGCTCAAGTCACATGAAGTTTGGAGTGGGGTTTGTAGCTGTGTCACGTCTTGAGGTGGCTTGCAGAATCTCTGCTGTGGGAAACAGAGATTTGTCCAATACTGCTGCAAGCGCTCAGTTAGGCCTCATTTTGTTTGCTCTGAGGGTGAGAATGGATAAAAAGGAGAACAAGAGTCACATACACAAATCAAAATACTTTTTTTAGAGAAATCTTGAAAATCTTTCAGTCATAATTCACCTCAATAAATTTTGAAATCAGAAACCTATTACTGTTTTGGTTCTAACAGAACGTGAACTAAAACCCAAAACACTCTGTCTTGGTGGATTTACAGTAACAGCTACCAGAAACATCTGAGGTTATTTTTAGTACCTAAACAAATTATTTATTTATTTTTGCATTTTTAGCAGCTCTGTCATATCATATGCTTATCAAAAATATCATATTTATTTGGACCTGACAGATTTAAAAGTTTCCCTATCTCCAGTTATCAACAAAAAAGCAAAGTTAAATCATAAAGAAAGCAGCAGATAAAGGTTAATAAGCTGACACATGGTTTGCATTAACATGTATGCTGAGGACTCTATAGTGTTTATGGGCTTTGAGGCTGCACAGAAGTCTGTTGGAGTCAGTCTCCCCACCATCACAGACTTCTATACATCCAGATGCAGGAAGAGAGCCACCTGCATCATGAAAGACCCCACTCACCCAGCACACACACTTTTGACCTCGCTCCCCTCAGGCAGGAGGTTGAGCAGCATTAAGTGTAGAACCAATAGACTGAGGAACAGCTTCTACTAGGTCTGTCATGATAACAAATTTTGCTGGGTGATTAATTGTCACAGAAATTATTGAGATAAATGATAATATTGTTCAGCAATATTAGCAATTATTGTCAAATTTTAGAAGAAATGTTGGTTAAATTTGTTTGCATGTAGTACCTTTACTGACCACCGGATGGCAATATAAGACTGTTTGAACCGAAGGATGGATAGTGATAGCGAGCGGCGTGTCTCTTTAAGAAAAATGGAAGGGAGGCCCCTTGACATGACATGGGCTGTCTCTCTTCAGTTCTCAAAATGGCGGATGCTCGGTGTGGTTTGAGCTCTTCAGCATAGCATTTTTCACACAAAGCTTTTAATTAAAAAAAAACAGTAAACAAGTTCTCAGCTTCTTTTTGCAGAGAAAAACACGAAGGCACGGGTTTCAACCGTGAATTTTGGAGCTTCGACACGAGGGAGGTTTTTTTTCCCCGAGGTCGGCCTGTTAGCTTAGCTCGTAGCTTAGCTTCTCAGCTTAGCTGCTTTTAATGATCCAAAAACGCGATTTTGGAAAGTTAAAAAAGATTTTAAAGAGAAAAGAGAAAGGGAGGGGTCAGAGAGAGACACAAAGAAACGATAAAGCCGATAAATGAAATTTATCAACCTCATTTTAATTTATCATGCAATTAACTGATTTATTGTTTATTGCGATAGGCCTAGCTTCTACCCTGAAGCTGTTTGACTCATGAATCCCTAATCAGGATGATCACTGTGAAAAAAATCACTGTAATGCCACTTGATTGCTGATATGTGCTGCTGATCTCATGCTGCTGATTTATTTCATACTGCTGTATTAATTCGTACTTATCTGCTCACACAGACTCATGTTCATGCTGCTGTTCGGCGTATTGTTTTTGTACTACTAGTGTTTAGCGTATTTCTTAGTTCATATCTTCGATCTTATTACTGTTTTTGCTTTTTTGTTTTTTACAATTTATACTTTTGCTATTGCTGGATGTAACTAGGACCCTGTGTACTCGCTTTCGTTCCACCTCATGTACCACGTGTGTTGCGAATGACAAATAAAGAAACTTGACCCTGAACTTTTGAGGACCATTGCTGACATTACATTAAATATCCTGATGCATGCTCAATAATCCAGGTAGGAAAATCTAAAAAAGTTAAGTTTAGTCCTCTGGACATTTATTAAACTTGTGTTTGACTAAGGAGTCATATTACACAAAATCTGACAATTTATTTTAATATATGGTACTGAGTTATTATGGTCCTAACTAGAGCTGTTTTGGTTATTACAAATAAAAATAAATCTAAATTATATGATAAAACATTCCTTCAAGGAATGCTTGTACGTATGCCAAAGTTTTAAACATACAGTAGGTCGAGATGTGTTAGAGCTCGGAGTATGTGATGGGGATGACTCTCAACTACTTCCACACAAAACTCAGCTCAACATCTGTAACACCAAGAGTTATAAATATGTTTGTCCTCTGTTGAACCATGTATCCCTACAACTATAAGTAGTGATGACTTCATGAGATTCTTTATAAATAAAATTATTTCAATTAGAGAGAAAATTCAAACCATCCTTCCTTCTGTCTCTAGGCCCCTGTCAAATGAGGCAACTTTAAAAATTTCACTAGAGCCTGATTTATGTTTGGACAGTTTTTGTCCTGTTGAGCTCTGAATTGTCAAAAATAATAACCTCATCCAAACCATCCACATGCCTGCTAGATCCCATCTCAACCAGACTGTTTAAAGAGGTATTTCCACTAATTAATGTCCACATTTTGGATCTACTTAATTTGTCTTTAATGGATGGTTATGTACCACAGCGCTTTAAGGTTGCTGTAATTAAACCTTTACTTAAGAAGTCTGACCTTGATTCAGAAATTCTGGCCAACTATAGACCTATATCTAATCTAACTTTCATCTCAAAAATTCTAGAGAAAATAGTTGCAGGTCAGTTGCGTGAACATCTACAAAGAAATAATCTGTTTGAAGAGTTTCAGTCAGGGTTTAGAGCTCATCATAGCACAGAAACAGCACTAGTAAAAGTCACTAATGATATTCTCATGGCCTTAGACAATGGACTTGTGTCATACTGGTCCTGTTAGACCTCAGTGCTGCATTTGATACAGTTGATCACAATATTTTACTACAGAGGGTTGAATATGATATTGGGATTACAGGAACGGCTCTAAAATGGTTTAAATCATATCTATCTGATAGATTCCAATTTGTAAATGTAAATAATAAATCTTCTTCATACACCAAAGTTAGTCATGGAGTTCCTCAGGGCTCAGTGCTTGGGCCAATACTCTTTACTTTATATATGCTTCCATTAGGTAAAGTTATTAAACAGCATGGGATAAATTTCCATTGTTATGCTGATGACACACAATCATATTTGTCCATTAAACCCAATGAATCCAATCAGCTACTCAGACTACAAGCATGTCTTAAAGACATAAAAACCTGGATGACCCTTAATTTTCTCCTGTTGAACACAGACAAGACTGAGGTTTTGGTTTTTGGACCTGAGCACCTTAGGAATGAATTTTTCAGTCTTTCTCCCTCCTTAGATGACATTAATCTGTCCTCCAGCTCTAATGTTAAAAATCTTGGTGTTATTTTTGATCAGGACATGTCTTTTACCCCCCACATTAAAAACATTACTAGAACTGCCTTCTTCCACCTGCGTAATATCACTAACATTAGAAACATCTGATCTAAAAATGATGCAGAAAAACTGGTCCATGCATTTGTCACATCTAGACTGGACTATTGCTATGGTTTATTATCTGGGTGTCCAAATACTTTTTTAAAACGTCTTCAGCTGATCCAAAATGCTGCTGCCAGAGTCTTAACTGGAGTTACTGGGAGAGATCATATTTCTCCAGTTTTAGTTTCTCTCCATTGACTCCCTGTCAAGTCCAGAATAGAATTCAAAATCTTACTCCTAACCTACAAAGCTCTCAACAACCTAGCTCCATCTTACATTACAGATCTTATTGTTCCATATTTTCCTAACAGAGCACTTCGCTCTCAGGCTGCAGGTTTACTTGTGGTTCCTAGAATTTACAAAAACAGAATGGGAGGCAGATCTTTCAGTTATCAGGCTCCTCTCTTGTGGAACCAACTTCCAATCTCTGTCCATGAGGCTGACACATTATCCAGTTTTAAAACTCGGCTTAAGACTTTCCTTTTTGATAAATCCTATAGTTAGGGTCGGCTTGGGTTTCCTGAGCTGTCCCTTAGTTATGCTGCTATAGGCTTAGACTGCTGGAGGACAAACTGACCACACTTTTCACTCTGCTACTGTCTTTACTTACTCTGCTCAACCTGTTTGAATTTGTAATTATTATTTATTTCTTTAACATGTGTTTTTTTTGTCTTTCAGATACACCTGGACCTACCATTCTGTGTTCCTCTGTCTCTCCTTCCTGTCCTC